ACCGTTGCAACTGCCTCGAGAGGCCGAGCTGAAGAATCTCTCCCCCCACAAAATCAGACTCAGCCGTGGAACAGCTATAACTGGGAATGATATAACATTTTATCCAAATAAGTCTAAATATTTGAAGTAAAAGCTTAGAATATTTATCCCTCGACAAAGAGCTCAGCTGATTCTCACTATTATGCCTTTACCTTCTTGTATACATAACTATTAAAAAAAAAAAAGGCATAAATTTGTTTCCATCCTCCAGGTCTTTGCCTTTGTCTCTACTTTTCACATTATAGTAAGATCCTTCAGAAAGATGTCTTTTATCTGTGTTATGGCAAAGTGCCTACCACAGACAGTTGTTATGTTTTGCTACATATGGTTAGTTTAAACACCTTTGTTAAAATCAGCGGTAGTGTATAAAATGACTTCAACTTTAGTCCTACAGTCCCACTCCAGTGTTCTTACTCAAATATCAAAACAAAGCCAAAGTCATTAAGATGAAATTAGGCCTCAAAGAAAACATTTCTTCAAGCGAGTTTGTATCATCATCTCCTCTTCCAGGCAGAAATTCAGTTTGTGAAGGTCTAACAAGATCAGTAGTTTCCTATGCATATTACATATAGTGTTACTACTGTGCAGGTCTAGCAGCAATAATAATGTTTTGATATCTTCAGGCCCCTATAAAACTCACCTTCTACTACAGTTTAAAATGCCTGTCACTTCCTGTATCAATTTTTTCCTCTTCTTTTCTGTTACCATTGAAACTACCACCATTTTTCTTAACACACACAGATACGTAGCCAACAGGTCATCTCAAATGCTTCCATCTCGTTTTTCCCTGGAGATCATGTGTTCTAATCCTTTCATTTCATCCTCTGTAGTATTTCAAAATGTGGCCCTTTCTTCCTGTATCAACATTTAAAAACTCATCTAGTATATAATCATCTCATCCGTATTTCTAGAATGTGCTCCTCCAACTCCCCTAACATTCATTTATAGCAACACTTTGATTGAGACTATCATGTGCACAACTCTGAACCAAGTAACCACATAATTATATTGTATGCATCTTTATCCTCTCGTTAACCCTTCCTTAGCATTAGTCATTTCCACTCAAAATGCATTTTAGTAATGGAAAAGTCATTTTAAGATCTTTTCAAAAAGAGCTGTCGAACAACCTCTATGGATTGCTACCTTGAAAAGGATGCTAAGTCTGCTAAAGCAAAGTAAAAACATTTCCCTCTTGGAATTGAGAATGGTCTCTTCACTTGAACAGCCCATACTTGGAAGCTTCTTGAACAAAAACATTATTTTCTGACTCCAAAGTTTTTTGAGGAAGAGCACAATCCTCTTGTATTAAGACCCTGGATTCAGATGCAAGAAATCCAAATTCATTTTCCTGTGCTGATGAATTTCCGCAGTCAGATGCAGTCTACTTTTTATGCCTCAGTTCCCACATCTATTGGAAAAAAATAGGAGCGTCTTTTCTTTCATAATTTGTCTTATCTAGATAAGCTGTTTAGGACAGGGAGGTTTTCTAACTGCGTGTGTACTGAGAATACAATGGGACTGCAGTCTTACTTGGAGGCTTAAGTATTATTTTAATATAGACGATGACAGAACTATAAGGCACTATAACTGAATGCAAGGCATGATCCCCCAAGTTATTCTGCTTATTTCCCCATTACTTTTGTTTTCCCCGTCAACAAAAGGAAGCTGTCCAAGACGTCAAACTAAAAAAATTTAATGTTTCACAAGTTTAAAGCAGCAAGACAGAATTAGAACAAATTTTGAAAGAGGACTGACAGTTTCATACGTTAATTGGAAATTAAAAATGTGCAGAGTATAGGACCAAGCTCTAAATTAAAACCCTACACCAGTTTAAGCATTTTCGTTACAAGATCGCAGAATTAACGACAAGCACGTTAGGAACAAAATGCATTGAAATGTTGGGTTGAGTTCTATAGCACAAAAAAATCTATCACCACACCTATAAGTTTTGTTGCAAGCTTCCTAGTGTTTCAAAAAACAGGGGTGAGGAATTTGTCTGAAAGTTCAGCATTTCGCAATCCCCACAGTCTCCACTCTGGTTGTTAGGAAGGGTTTTGTTGAAGGTTTCAGAATATTACTAAGTCTGCATACAGCTGATTGTCATATCACCCTGAGGTCATGCCTTTATTGCATAGAGATGCAGGGTAAATAGCTGGCATCAGGCACACAAAAAAATCCTATGAACTACACTGTTTCTGGTATCACAGCTTGTTCATTTAAAACTAGCTTTGGTTTGTCTACCCACACTGCAGTCTGCATTGTAGACATTCCCTTTGGCTCTGAATTAGCAGAGGTGATAACCCTGTTTATTACATAGCCGTCAATCCAAAAAAAAGAATCTTGAAACTTAGCTATGACAGATACTTAAATCAAACAAGGTAGTAACTCATTTTGTAGACTAGACTAAAAAGAAGCCAACCAAACACAACAAACAACTCCCGCCCAAAAATAAAAAGCAAAACAAAAACAACCAAACCCAAGTACTTGCAGATTCCACTTCCACCTCTACACCAGATTTAGGAAACCTTGGCAGATAAATATATCTGATGTAGAACGTTGCTCCAGATCACAACCGAAGTGCCAATCTTCAGAAAGACTAGGTAACTTATATATCTTAATTATAGAAACCTTTAACTGTTCACTTTACCAACTCTGGTAAACTGGAATAAAAACTGTAGACAAGTGATACCTTTTGATCCTTTTAATTTCTAGAAAAAAAAACATTATCATTTTCCATAACCGCTTAAAAAGTGAGTTTACATGCTTAGAAATTCTCCTCAGGAAGGACACAAATTCGTAGGAAATACTGCATAAGGAATATTCACATGAAACTTCAGCCATCTTTCACAGGATTCCAAAAAGTTATTTATCTGCAAGTCAGGATTTATGAAAGCTTGAGTGACTTCCAATTTAGAGCCCGTATCAAGCATGTGCTTCCTGCCCGTGTACACTGGCAGGGGACTGACAGGAATGCTCATCTTTTGTGGTGCGTCAAAGCTTGGGATCTGTCCCTGTGCAATTTGTTAAGATGACAGCTCTCATTTCTTTTTTCTCCCTGAATGAACACAATGGGACGTTTTAAGTGAAATGGACTTGTGAGATACAATATGTAGTGAAAAATTCTTCATATTTCAGTTAAATGTTTAACCCTGGTTGAGGCACGCAGCGAAACTGGCATGTCATGCAGTCAGACAGATGCTTTGCTTTATTTAGAATCATTCTTCAGGGGTCTCCAGCTCTAAAGCAAAAACAGTTTATTCTAAGCTATTATCTTTGGCAGATGAATCAGTCACAAATTGCAGCTTTATTTCAATTAACCTACTGCCTTTTTCATTGTTTTTATAGCTATGATAAGCCATCCATTGGAAGCCCCAAGTCTTCATTTGCAGGTAATTCAGCGATACCTTTAAGTACACCTGAGATTTAACAAGAGATTTATCGTCTTTATTAAAGATGGCTAAGTTTCAGATACCGGCACTTATAAAAGTCTAAACCTTCTTCTACAAACTTCATTGAAATGACGGACATTATAAAGTTGTTTACACAGCTTTACTATGTAAAAATAGATTTTCCACCATAAGGCATGAATAGTCTTAATCAACATACTGCATACAGAATTGTGAGGATCCACTTTCTCGGTAGTCATTATAATCTTACTTTCTTCTGCCTCCACATGTCAGTTTCTTGCCAGCCCTCAATGACAGAATGGATTCACTGTTAGTGTATGGGCCTCATAAAAAGACAGTTTCAAAAAACTAAAAGGTAAGTTAAACTATTAGGCGCAACCGATGTGCCTGTATACAGTTCAGGGATTCCTTACTGAGAGGAGTAATAACGCCCAAGAATGGTAGCTGACATCATTATAGCTGCGGTTCTGCAAAGGTTGTCAGCTACATTATTACTTTCACATTGTACTCCAAAACTGCAAAAACAATTTACAGTAAGTGAATATTCAAACATGTATATTATAATCCCTTCAGATACACAGACTTGCTTCTATATTTATCAAATGTAACATCTCACCAGATATAAAGTTTGAATCTAGGTTTTAATGAACCTTTGCACATTGTGCAGTCAAACTTCTGTCTTTCAGAAAAAAAAGCAAGTTTTTCACACAGCTCTTTAGAAGGTAAGTGTGTAAGACATGGCTTTGTTGCAGTCCAAATCTTTGCAGGTTTCATTGCCACTGATGCAGCATTACAGAGATCAAACGCATCTCAGTCTTTTGTTTAGTCAGACTTATCTTTCTTCTTCCCTGTTAAAGGCACTTTACTTGCAACAGCAGATCCTACAGCTGTAACACCTCCAGCCACAGCAGACACGCTTCCTTTAACCAGCCCCACTCCCATGGAAGGCACCGCCGTAACTGCTGTTTTGGTAATTTCCAAGCTTTTTCCTCCAATCCAGGCTACACCACCAATTGTGGCACCGACAGCTCCCTTTGTCACACTGAAGATGCCACCAGTCACACGAGAAAGCATGCCAGGCTGCTGCTGCGGATGATCTTTCAATGAACCTGAAGAAGACGTATAAACCTCCAAGTCAGTCATGATCTTGTGATTAAGAACATTTTGTTAATAAAGCTTTGCTCTCTTAAGTCTTTTAAACGAGGTGACACATGGCACATGCTTAGTAATTATTTGGCTTACAAAACAGTACTGTTTCAAGCATTAGTTCTTACTGAAAGGTAAGATAATCTGCTCCAATTAAGACTGCCTTGGTGTCATTTTATCACCATGGAGTTTGATGGTGAGAGTCCCAGTTTCAACCACATTGAGATCAACTTCAGAAGACTCCCTACCAACCCTTCAACAGCTAAATTCCCAATATCTTCCACTTCCCCCAACTGTCAGCCCTTGTCAGTCCCTGAAACCTAACAACATATTAAAAAGGACAAAAGAAATCCTGAGGGGTTTTTTTTAATACATTTCCCCACTTCAAACCACTTATGTCAACTCTGATATAAGATGACAAAGGAGTTTTTATTCTTTTGCTTAAAATGCATTTTAACATCTTTCCTGTATATCCCACACTTGAAAAAACAAAGTTGGCTCTTTTCTCTGTAGCCCCCTTCCTGCCACCTTTCTATTGACCAATACATAATCAGTCCTTCTCTTATGCTTTTTAAGCCTTTTCTTTCCCTCTTGCCATGTCTTCACATGTTTTTTTCCCCCCTCCTATCCGGTTTTGGTAGTTTGCGTCTCATCTGCCTATTCAGATGATGTGTCCAAACAGGTTAATGCCACAGTATAAGACTGTTCTGTGTGCTGTGTCTTATACTGTGGCATTAACCTGTTTGCAGGCAAGTTACCTTGAGTAATTTTTAATATTTAAAAATCTAATATATAGTGATAATCAACACTGCTAAAGTAGAAGTCTGCTTAATCTGCTCAAGATAAACAATAAGGAAGCTGAGAAATATAGAATACAATAAAATAGCTGCATAAAACTGAAAATTAAAGTTAATCCCATCAGAGTTAAAACCTCACACAGATCAAGCAAAATATGTTTAAATACAATTAATGGGCAAAACAGATTCTAAATGGGGGTTATGAACACATTTCAAGTAGGGGTACACCAATAATTTTGGAGGCCGATACTGGTAGCCAATTTTTAAGGTCAATACTGATCCAATTACTGATACAGCTGATAAGTCCCTCACTGTGGGGGGCATTGATCTGCACCCCCCCTCCCCTTTCACCACAACTGACTTACCAGCTGCATGCAGCTCTCCAAGCTGCCAGGCTGCACTCCTTGCTGCTGTGTTGCGGCTGCACGCACACATGGGCATTTATCGGCCAAATTAAATTGGCTGCATGGGCCTGATTTCCAATACAGTCAATTTTCTTTATATCAGTGCCGATCCAATATGGGACCAATGCATCAGTGCACCTCTAATTTCAAGGGGTCAAAACTACCTTCTGTTTCCTTATAGCTAGATTGGGGGTGGGCAATAATTTTGGCCAGAGGGCCGCATACTGAGTTTTGGCAAGCCATCGAGGGCCACATGACAGGCAGCCAGGGGCAGATAAATATTGATTTTCTAAATTTTTTAGGGGCCCCACAGGCCAGATAGAATGGCTCCCGGGCCGCCTTTTGCCCCTGAGCTAGATGGAAGAGTTTATCAAAGCATGTTATAACACAGTTCATTGATCAGGGGAGGCTGAGAAGCATTGCGCTATTGAATTAGTTTGCTGCTTCCACCTACATCTTGTACATATTTCTAATCTCTTACTATTGTTAATGACAGGATAATAATGACTTAAATTGAACACCCTCCATAGTTAGAAGTCACTATTTAGTTGCTCAAACAATAAACTATTCAGATACATATTGTGACCACCTAATAATCTGCACTTAAACAAACAAAAAAAACAACCCAGCTTTTAAGTGTCATTACACCCAAAGCATGCAACTGTTTTGTTCAGTGCTTCCTAATCAAGTACATTTTTAAAATAGAAGGCATTTTTTATTTAAATTACCAGCCTTATAAACTCAACTTAGAAACCTGATGTCAAATTGGGACCTTTCCATCCCACATGAACTCAAAAAATTGTCAACAGGCCAAACTGCACTCTCAGTTACATTGTGCAAGCTGGGTCTTCAAATTATGCTTGTTTGTATTTGTGACCCCTCACTGTCTTAAACGAGTCTGCAAAGTGTCAATAAATTGCAACTGGGTAAAGAGTTCTCTCGATTCACAAATGGCACAAAATCCACTCTGAAGTACATAGCCTCTTCAAGGCTAACAGCAGCAGCTTGAGTACTTAGCTCTGGCTGTGTGTGCAATAGGCTTTTGTTATCAAGGAGAACTGCACTTCACAGAATTTTTTCACTATCAAATAAGATTACAGAGGTTTAGCATCTACCTTCTGGTGGTTCATTATGTAGGTATGAGGGAACTTCCTGTTGATTGTTGTCTGTTTGATTCATTGTTGCCTAAAAAAAAACAAAAACACCCCAAAAACACATTACTGTGCATCGCTCTGACAAACTGTGAAAATGCAGTCTTTACCATTTAAATTCATCCATATAAAATCTCCCCCCCAGCAGAAAATTCCTTTCTGTATGAGATAAGGAAACAGCATAGCCACTACCATTTTTACTACAGGCTGCTTGTGTGTTCAGATTCCTCTTCCTGGTCCAATATTTCTGAAAGATCCTGCAAAAAAGGAATCCTTACAGGTAGAACAGGTTCAGCAGGTGCTGTGCAAATGGCCTTACCTCAGCTGTGCACCCTAATACTGGATGGGAGTAACTAACTGCCTTAAGAGCTGTTGGAGAAAAGGGGTTTGTGAAGAAGGCAACAGAACACTGCAATACTCACTATAAAATTATTAAAGAACAGATTAGTCTGTAGAGAGGTCTATGAGCAGATGAAACAGTACAATACCTTAGACTTCAAGGCTTAGAAATATGCTGAAACCTAGAGAAACAACTTTTAAGTGAATGGGACCATACAACAGAAACTGGATGTGTACCATACTCAAGCCAAAAGATTTATTAGTTATACTGTTATAGATTCATAGATTGTAAGGCTGAAAGGGACCTTGCAAGATCATCGAGTCCAGCCCCCTGCACCAAGCTCATCTCCTAATAAAGAATACATGGTGCAAGGCAACAAGAGAAACAATAAAATGGACCGTTTTAACTATCCCTGGCTCAGTGACTGGTGCCTGCTGGGTCTGGGGGGCACCCAGGGTCCCCCTGTGGCTGATTGCCAAGCTGAGGGGGCACGTGCTCCCCAGCAGACCTGAAAGTGGACCGGAAGTACTTCCATCCACTTCCGGGTTCGCTGCCAAGAATGCTGGACAGCCCCCCGCACTGCTGTGGGACACTGCATCTGCCCCAGCAGCGATCACGAGCCACAGTGCTACCTCAAGGTATGTAGAAAAAAACTTTTAAAGCTGTGCCTGTGTCCGAATTGCTGATTCGCCAAATCAGCATCAAATTGTCGGATTCAGATTCGGCTGAATCAAATCAGGGACAGTTATCCAAATCAGTGGATCAAATCACTGTCCCTGATTCGGGCTGAATCCAAATCCAAAAGGGCTCATTTCACACAGCCCTAGTAACTGTGTTGCAGGCCAGATCCAGCCTGTGGGCCATATGTTTGACACCTCTGATCTAAAGCATGCAAGAGCATTCCATCAATTAAATCCTAAATAAGAATATGGTTTGTCCAGTAACCACAACTAAGCCCTCCAGTAGAATCAGATTTAGACATCCTTGGGTATTATGCCCAAAACTAGCACAGGAAAGAAAGTATCTAGTCAAGAGACCCCAAGAGACCCTAAACTGGAAACTAAAAGTAAAAACGTCTTAGACTTGGCAGAGAGGCTATAACATAATTCTTGAACATACCTGTAGACCCTCAAGCAAAAAAGAAACAGGTAATGCCAAAGTATGCCAAAGTCACCAATAGAGCTGGTAAAATGGCAATATACAAGCAGTTGTTCAAACCAAATACCTTTCACAGAATGGAGAGTCACAACACCAACTCTGAAAGCTAAAAGAAAGTCGTACATAAGTATAGAAACTATGACAGATGGATTATGAGACTTAGCCCTACAAATTTCAAAGACAGAGTAAGTGGCTATCCGAAGTTAATGGGAGGATAGGTGGGTGGATCTGCACACTCACCAGGGACAACTGAGAAGCACTCAAAAAAAAAAACCTCAAACAATTTCCTGACATTAGTTTTCAGACAATGCGAGGAGAGATATCCAAGAAGATCAGATCCAAGATATTAAAATACAAGTGACAAAAATGTCCAAAGCAAAGGTGCTACAACAAATTGCCAGGCCTGGGTGTTACACATTCAAGTGTTGAGCCAACAGAAGAATGGAGTAAACAAACCTTTAACAAAATATGTCAACTTTAAAGATAACTGTGACAAGAGAACTGGATGGTAGCTATATTTTTAAAACAGGCAACAGAAAGAATCCTGAGAATGATAGATTAATTAACCTTATTTCAAGCCACCAGATAAACTGAGTGACAACTGAAAAGATAAAACACCCAAACAAATGTGACAGACGCAAATCAATTTATCTTGTTTAAAACAAAAGTCCTTCCCTTCTAATCTTTTCAAATCCTTTGACTGCATCCAGAAAATAGTGTCTAAAGGAGGAGAATCAGTTGAAATAGTTTGTTTGGAGCGTCAAAAAGCTTGTCATAAAAATTCCTCATTAAAAAAAAAAACTCACCAAGAAACTGTGAGGTCATAAAATAAAAGGCTAAATATGGCCAGAAATTAGAAACAACAAAGTAGGAACTACAGGGTACAGAAAAAGAAGGTGGATAGTAAGAAGCTCTGCAGATAAGCATGGTGGGGTAAGGAGGGATTGTACAGCAGCACATAACCTTACTAGCAAAGTATCAAGAACCAGTTGTGTTGAAGATGGTATAAGCCAGGGGTTTTCAACCTCTTCTAACAAGCATACCCCTTCTGTCTCAAAGTTTCAGCTCATGTACCCCTTTATATTTTGTACTTGTTTTTAAATGTTACCAATAATGTGATACAAGGGAGGCTATACTAATTAACATTAAATACATTATTAATAAGCATTAAATATATATATCATAGTTATGGCACAATAGTTTGGACTGGTAAGTCTGTTGTGGGGGAAGGGGCAAGGGAAGGGGTGAAGGTCGGGGGCAGATCGAGGCCCCTGCCATGAGGGAGGTAGTGGGGCAGACGCTGCACAGCTGGCGCAGAGCATGGGATGAAGCCCTGAGTGGCTCATCCAGGGGATGTGGGGGAGGGCGGCTCCCACTGCTACGTGCACCCTGGGACAGTATGGGGGGCATGCACACCCAGATCTCTGCAGGATGAGGGCAGATTGCTGCTGTGGGCTGGGGAGGCACCGAGCTCTTCCTGGCAGGGTGGTTGGGCTGGGCTGAGCTTGGGGTGGGCAGCAGTGGCACCGGGAAGGCTATAAGGAGGGTCCCTGCAGCCACCCGAAAATTTGCTGTAGCCCCCTGACCCGCCTTCCTAGCGCTGCCGCTGCCTGCCCCAAGTGCAGCCCGGCCCAGCCTCCCCTGCCAGGAAGAGCCCAGCACTGCCCCCAGCCCGCATCAGCAGCCCATCCTCGCCCCGCACACATATCTGGGGGCATGTACCCACCATGCCCTTCTGGGGTGCATGCAGCAGCAAGAGCCCCCTCCCCACACCACAAGCTATGGCTCCATCCCATGCCCTGCTCCACCCCGCCTGTGCAGTGCCTGCCCCTGCCCCACGCCCTCCCTCACAGCTGGGGCCTCAATCTGCCCCCCTCTCGAGACAGGCAGCAGAGCAGACTTTTCTCACAACAGATTTACCAGCCAGACCCAGGTACTCTCCATGCTGCTGGGCTGTGCTCCTGACCACCTGCATACAGCACTGCACAGGGCATTTATTGGGCACCTTATTGTTCACATCAGCCAAAAGAAGCAGATTGCCAATACTGCCACTTTTCCTTGCATCAGTGCCAATCTGATATGGGAGCGATGTATCAATGCACCTCTAGTAATCTTTTCTCATTCATTCTGCATACCCCCTACGGCCTTTTTAAGTACCCCTAGGGGTACGTGTACCCCCAGTTGACAACCACTGGTATAAACATATAATGAAGAACTCCATGCCTGCCTTGGAGAGCTCAAAAAAATCATCAGAAGCGAACAGGACACAAAACAGCACACAATAAGAATTAAATATGGTGGGAAGAAGCAGGCCAATGGGGTAATCAAACAAATGGTCATGGGCCATTGTAGCAGATGGGCTATGAACAGGGAGCACGTTAGCAGACCATAGGCCATGTTAGCAGATAGTCAAACTACGGACTACTTGCTCTAGAGCAGAGGTGTCAAACTCATGCCACACCAGATCTGTACCATGCAGGCATCTCTCAGGCCAGATCTGCACAGCCAGCAGCAGCTGCAGCAGGTCTGAGTCCAGCAGTACAGACCAAATTCAGGTGACAGTGCAGATCCAGAAACAGGCAGCAGAGCAGGTTGGGGAAATGAGCAGCAGTGGAGCAAGCAAAAGTGGTATCTGCACAGCCATCACTTCCCCAGTGCCACTGATGGCCATATCCATTATGATCTGGGGACCTTGAATTCTATGGCAGGCCATGCTCCACTAGCCATGCCTCCTACCTTCTGGTAGTCTGCTGGACTACTGATAAGCCAGCTAGAATAGTGTGCTGGATCTAGCCCACAGGCAGTACATTTGAAACCTCTGCCCTAGAGAACAGATCAAAAAATGACAGCAATATACAAGACAGTCAAAGTAAAATGAAGTACATTAACACTGAAGGAACAAAAAGATATTCTGTGAAGTTAGTAGCTGATATAATACAACAAAAAACAAACAAAAAAGCAATTAAGCTCTAGAAGCAATTGCCAGAAAGTCTCTTTCAAAACAAACCCCACTTCCCCCCCAGAAGTTTCTCCAAATTAAATAACCAGATTTCACTCTGAATAATTCATCACCCCAAGGGGACAAGTGATGACAACTACATTAAACCACGGATAACTGATACGGATTAGTATTCAGTGTTATTAGCTCACAACAGCACCTTGCTCTCCTCAACTAATATTTACTAAACCTACTGTTACAATATGCCAAATACTTTTGAGTTTCAGTTACGGTATGCTAAAACGTCAAAAAAACAGGAAGTGCTATTCTTCTGCATCAGTAATTTGTAGCACCTACCGGGTTTTAGACATCTGTGATCATATTTTTCCCCTCACATTGAAGAAGTAGGTACAGAATAAGCAAACAAGACCAACTATTTAAGAAGGCAAACTGTTCTCAGAGGCTGACCTCTAGAATGGACCTTTGTACAGAACAGAGTACAAGAAATCCTGGAACATATCTAAGAAATTCTGTTTTACTCAAAAGGCAACCAATGAACAGGAGAACTAAGAACAGGATCCAATAAAGGACTTAAATTGCCCAATGTACATAGTAGAGTACTGCATGCAGTTCTGGGCGCTGCACTTTAACAAGGATGTGGTAAAGCTGAGAGAGTCCAGAGAAGAGCCACCTGTATGATCAGAGACTTGTGCTGCAAGCCATACGAGGAAAGGCTGAGGGATCTGGGACTCTTCAGCCTGAAAAAAATAAGGCTGCAAGGGGACTTGGTAGCAGCTTACCGCTACATCAGAGGCATACATCAAAGGTTTGGTGAACAACTGTTCGCCAGGGCACCCTTGGGGAAAGCGAGGAGTAATGGCCACAAACTCCTGGAAGATTGATTCAGGCTCAACATTAGGAAAAACTACTTCATAATTAGGGTGTCCAGACTGTGCAATAAGGTCCCTCCAGAGGTGGTGCAATCACCTACCCTGGAAATCTTCAAGAGGAGACTAGACAGTCACTTTGCTGGGGTCACCCGACTCCCAGTTATCTTTCCTGCTTGGTGCAGGAGGCTGGACCCGATGATCTTCCAAGGTCCCTTCTAGCCTTACAATCTATGAATCTATGGCAGGAGTGGGCAAAATATGGCCCACAGGCTGGATCCAGACCACCAAGCACTTCCTTTCGGCCCACGGAGTCCCTTCAAAACACATGTAATGGCAGCTGCCTCTCTAAAAGCCTCCAGCGGCACGAGCCGCCAGCTGCAGCACCTCAGGCTGTTTCCTTGGGTTCTGGTTGCGAGGCAACTGATCCTGACCTCAGCCTGCTTCAGCTGGCCTCGCCCTGCTCCGGCTCAAGCCACATTTGCAGCTTGATAGGGATGGGGTGGAGGCTGGGCCAGAACCTGTGGCGTCGGTGAGGGGAAACAGTGTCTGGGCCGCCTTCTGCCTCCTGCGCAGGGCTGGGAAGGGCCCTGCCTTCCAGGTAAGCCCAAGAAAGCGGCTGCTGGGCAGGCTTTCCCTGTGCCAAGCCATGCCGCTCAGGCCGCGCAGGGTCAGGCTGGGCCAGCACTGGGGAGGGGAAGCAGCAGCTGGGCCGCAGCTCCGGCCCAGTCAGCACCAGGGAGGAGAAGCGGTGGTGGAGCCGTGTGCCACTCGGGCCAGGATGAGCCCAGCCGGAGCGACAGGGGCTCAGCTGCACTTTCCCCCTACCTGCACTGGTCAGTCCCGAGCGGCTCACAGCTCCACTGCTGCTTCTGCTGGCTGGTGCAGACCCGGCCGGGCTCGCCCCGTCCCCAGCAGCACGTCGGAAGCCGGCTTTAGTCCCACGCTGCTCCGGATGGGACAGACCTAGCCGGGTCTACATCAGCCAGCAGAAGCGGCGGTGGAGCCGTGTGCCACTCGGGACTGACCAGCACAGGTAGGTGGAGCCTCCTTCTTTTGGGACCAGCTGGCACAGGTAGGGGGAAAGTTCTGGGCGAGGTCTGATGCCCCTGAAATCCCACTGCTGGGGCAGGATGTTAGAGGGGTCACAACCCCTTGCTACCTAGTAAGTTGTGCAAGGGGAGGGACTTCTGGTTACAAAGGTCAGGGGGCAGGGCTTCTGGTCCCAAGTTGGCGACCAAGGTGTGGGGCAACTGAAGGGGTGGGGCTACCCATGTGGCC